TACGTACGTACGTACGTATGTAAGTATGTATGGATGGATGGATGGATGGACAGATGGATGGACTCCCTCAGTTTTAAACAGCTTATTAGGGAAATGAGTCAGAACATTTTAAAAGCCTTATAATGTATATTCTCTGTCCTTTTTTTAAAGGATAACAACAAAAATAGCATTGGCCTTAGAAGCTATTTGAATAAAAGTTTAATAAAACTTGTTTCAGAAAAGCAGGAATCTCTCTAAACCTCTGAGAAGCAATTATTCAACTGTATTTCACTTTGAACAGGTAAAAACAGTCTTGGAGATGATAAGTACAGTAAATATTTTATAGGCAAAGATACATAAATGAATTTTATTCTTTGGAAACAGTTGAAAAATGTCATCTTCTTACCAACTTACCAAAAATAATTATTCTTATTTTGCTTCCAAACTCAAAGCTAATGAGCAGTTTTTGTCTTTAAACTCGTAATATACCTGACAATAAATCCAAAGTGGGTTTGTCAAGTGAAATTCTTAGCTTTACTAAAACTAATGTTATGCCTGGTTCCATTTTAGAGGCAGTTTATGAAAACAGCTGTGAACATAACGGCGTGAAAATGTTCTGAAACAAAAGGTTTCAGCAGTGCGAGCTGAGAGTTGGCAATGGGAAAAGGTAATGCAGTCGTGCTGACGGAGAGGAGTGTGTATGTGAGAGAGAAAGAAGAGGAAAAGTGTGAGCAATATTGTGTGAGTGTGTGTGTGCATGTGTGTGTGTGTGTGAGAGAGAGAGATGATGTCTATGCTGACTGCAGCATTGCGCCAAGGAGAGTGGAGGGGGAATATACCCTACAGAAAGAGGGAGGGAGGTGAGGAGGAGGGGAGGAAGGGATGAGGTGGAGTGAGTAAGAGAGGTGAGTTTGTGTGTATTCTTGTGTGTGTCTGTTTGCACATGAGTGTGATGACAGAAACAACTCCAATATTCATTCATCTCACTGCTTTCTTTTCTCTCGCTTGTTCCTGTTTCATTCGTTTGCATCTCCCTGCCTGGTTATTGAAGTGTGTGCATGTGTGTG